TGCCGTTACAAAGGAGTGAAAAAAATAAAGTTTTACTATAATGATGAGAGAGAAACGATATAAATATTACTATTAGAATAAACTAACTCCTTAATCTGAGGGTCAGTATATTTTTAAAATATGCTAGAATTGTAAAAACAAATTGCCATTTATGGAATAAATGAAGAATACTATCATTAAAGAAAATAATATTAAATAAAGGATTAGGCATGTAAAAATCTGCAGGGCATGAAATATCTGAGAATCACAAATCCATCGCCGAATATTCTATCAGAGAGGTCATTCAATGTGGTCATCGGGAGCCCTTACACATTGATGACCATAAATATTCTCATCAATCATCACACTACTTTTTTTATAACTATATCATTTTGTTTGCACTTCTACTATTTTTATCATTATAGGATTTTTAAGTAATTTTATCCCCCTAAGTTTAGACAGACGCAAAGAAAACAATTTTGTTTCGATTGAAATTTGAACCATAATCTCACATAATTTTTATTAGGTCACACCTTGAAATGCATTCAACATGATAATAAATATACAACAACAACAACCTAGTGAAATCCTATAAGTAAAGTTTGGGAAGGATAATGAGTACGCAGACTTTACCCCTACCCGAGGGAGTAGGGAAGTTGTTTCCGAAAGACCCTCGGCTCAAAAAGACAAAAAAATATAATATATCAGTATCATCAACAGAAATCATAGATATAATAACAGCAACATAAAATAGATGAAAAACAATAATAAAAACAATGACAATAAGTATGTAAAGAAAATTTGTGAAATTACAAGTAAGAAAATAAAAAATCTTACTTCCCAAAGTAGCAAATCAAAAGGTTTCTTTCTTTCACAACCGCAATTTCCAACGGTCTAAATCCTTATCCTAAAACCTCATCCGAATGCTGCTTCCCTCCACCTCTCATTCCCTCCTTCTCCTTTCACCCCACACCACCAAACATCAAGATTTCCACCATTGTGATAAGAATCTAAAAGACCCTCAAACAAAAGCCAGATTTATTTCCCATACTTCCCTCTTTCCCTTCCTCTTTGGCTGGCTTCTTGCTCCTCCATATCAGCCTCTCTTTTTTTTGCATTGCAGAGCTAAGAAAAAAAGTGACCCTTAACCATGTCTTGCTCAAATTTGACAATGTTGGTATCCTCAAAACCATCTCTTTCTGACTCCTCTGCACTTTCTTTCCGCTCTTCTGTCAGCCCTTTTCAGCTTCCTAACCACAACACATCAGGCCCTTCAAACCCCTCAAGATCATCATCAGTCACCCCTGTTCACTGTGGTCTTCGTGATCTACGTGATCGGATTGAATCAGTCAAGAACACCCAGAAAATTACTGAGGCTATGAAGCTTGTTGCTGCTGCTAAAGTCAGAAGAGCTCAAGAAGCTGTTGTGGGTGCTAGGCCTTTCTCTGAGACTTTGGTTGAGGTCCTTTACAACATTAATGAGCAGCTTCAAACTGATGACATTGATGTTCCCCTCACCAAAGTAAGACCTGTGAAAAAAGTGGCTTTGGTTGTTGTCACTGGTGACCGTGGTCTTTGTGGTGGTTTTAACAACTACCTCATCAAAAAAGCTGAGGCTAGGATTAGAGATTTGAAAGCTCTTGGCATTGATTACACTATTATCAGTGTTGGCAAAAAGGGTAACTCTTATTTCATCCGCAGGCCTTACATTCCTGTAGATAAGTTCCTTGAAGGAAGCAATTTGCCCACTGCTAAAGATGCTCAGGCCATTGCTGATGATGTTTTCTCGCTTTTCGTGAGTGAAGAGGTTGACAAAGTTGAGCTTTTGTACACAAAGTTTGTGTCTTTAGTGAAATCTGAGCCAGTGATTCACACCCTGCTTCCATTGTCACCAAAGGGAGAGATTTGTGACATCAATGGGAACTGTGTTGATGCAGCAAATGATGAGTTCTTTAGGTTGACAACAAAGGAAGGAAAATTGACAGTGGAAAGAGACATTATAAGGACTAAANGATATTATGAGGACTAAAACAACTGATTTTTCGCCAATCTTGCAATTTGAGCAGGACCCTGTTCAGATTCTTGATGCCTTGCTTCCACTTTACTTGAACAGTCAAATCTTGAGGGCATTGCAGGAGTCATTAGCCAGTGAGCTTGCTGCTAGGATGAGTGCCATGAGCAGTGCAACAGATAATGCAACTGAATTGAAGAAGAACCTCTCTAGAGTCTACAACAGACAGCGTCAGGCAAAGATTACAGGAGAAATATTGGAGATTGTTGCTGGAGCAGATGCCTTGGTTTAAGCATACTTCTTCTTGTTCCCCTGCAATTGTGCTTCTCTGTAGGTACAATAATGAAGTCTAGACAATTCTTATTTTCTGCTTCTCAGCCTCGTACAGACTTTGTGCACAAGATGAGAACCACATTATATTTTGTACACAAGGCCGGATCAAACGTATATTTGTATTTCAATTTTTCCTGCTATATTTGTAAAACATGAATTATTGAAAGCCCGAAGATTCACTTCCTCGTATAGCTTTTCGTCTTTTCTAGTGTCAAACTGTATAGATCAGTTAAAGCACTCATGTAATTGCATATTGTATCCACTCTTTATAGCTTCACCGAGAAATACATAGGTAGATTAAACATGGAAGCACCACCCATTCTAGAAGAATAGACTAATCTAATCAACCAGTTGTAGTTTTAGAATGTGGCCTGAGTTTTCATGGATTTTCCTCCTCTACGTCTTAACGATAAAACTGTACCATCGTTAGCTGATCTGCTATGAGGTTCAAAAGGACAATGAGGATTGAGGATACATTGTGAACTTCATCTTTGACTATACTCTCTTCCGTTATTGATAGTGAACGTGTAAATTTGACAACTTGCTTTGGAAGCTTGACCATGGAAGTGAAACAAGCCATGTACTGTAGAGTGTAGAATGAACTTTGTAACCAATGCATATTGCTTAATTTGCATATTGGAGGAGCAATAGAATTGTGTAGACATAACAGCTAAATATCGATGATCTAGGAACATTGTTTTGATAGAGTTCCAAAAGATTGAATCATGCCAGAGTGATGTGATTTCTCTCCCATTTCAAATATGTTAGTATATGTTTAAGCATTTAGAACTATTCAGAGGTCAATCAATGTTTTAGGCTCGAGCTTTGATCCTTCTCCCAACCTCAATTGGTAGGCATTTGATTTCTTGTCAGGATATTTGTGTGAGAGTTAATTCTCTGATAACTGGAAGGGTGATTACTAAGGAAATAAAATTTAGGAGAGGAGGTGGCTGAGTCTAATGTATATGCTGATGCTACTACAGCACAGTAATTACAATATGGATCAATAGAATGTTGGAAAAATGCAGGACTGTTGCTCGACATAAAACACCGTGGATAATGGATTCAAAGACTTTCTAATTAGATCTGTATCTATATAGAACAAAAGGAGATGGACTCCAACTTCATTAAACTACCACATCTTAAATTTTGCATAAAAACTTTGTCAGAATACAGAATTACAGAAGCCAAATTTACGAAGTCAGGATATATAAGTTAAATGCGAAGTTATACAAGGTCATTACTCAAGAAAATGCATTTTACGCCAGGATCAGTGAAACCTGTCCTGCCACCCCTATCCCCTCACACAAGGAGGGTATTAAGGAAATCATTTAATGCATTACTTCAGTATTAAAGTTTCTTCTATAGTGAAAAGATGCTTCAAACAACTATCTCCATGAGTAGCTCACATGTTGTTTGAAAACTATCTATTAGATAACTTCTAAAGGGGTTGCCAGCATCATTTCTACAGTACCTTCTTAACTTATTCTAAGGCAGGATTAGTCTTTATCTGTTGTCGACCGAGGAGAGATCCAATGGTATGCCTACCTTCTATTCTCATTTGCTCTTTTCTGCAATATTGGTGTTCCACTTTCATCCTTATGAATAGGCCTGAAAATACAAAGTGCCCGGACTCGCATAATTATGAAATCAAAGAGAAGAATGAAGCAAAGGTAGGAGAAGGCATCCTAAGAAATTAAAGGTCCAATGATTTCCAGAAGCGTCAACCGCCATCTATTTCAACTTCTGGGAAGCATAATAAATCTCCGGAGAGGATTTAACTGAACTGGCATTTTCTATAAAATCTAGTGGAAAGTAAATTGGGGACATACAGTTGAGATTCTCCCAGAACTGGAAAAGAAGGAAAAGCATATAGCTCGTATGAAGTATGTTCAAAGCTATACTTCAAAAAAGTAAGCTAAAGGATAGACATTGCAGCTTTAGATCGGCCAGTTCTTAGGAATAAGGAAATTCCGGCACCAAACTTATCGAATTTCCAGGAAAAGCTTCATGCTTTGACTTACCAAAAGAGGTTATACATGAGTAGCATAGACTTTTAAAAGGAGAAACTGCAGAACTGGTTATTACTAGTACTGGATTAGAATAATGAGGAAACGATTACAAAGACTCTAACCATAACAAGTCTGATCATCCAACAAATGCAAAGAACAGTAAAGATTGGACAGACAATACAGTACAGCATGAATAATAACACAGCATATTTCTGGTTTCAGTTGAATTTTCTTCCATGTCAGATCTGCTCACATTAGCGAATCGAAAGACTTCTATTTCTTCTTGAAGCATGAACGTGGCAATACGTTGTAGAGAAACCATTCAATAAGTGCATCATCATATTAGCACAAATTATATCAAACACCACAATTTCAGTAATCAACATACATGAAACAGTACCATGAATTCAGAGAACTACCTGATTATAATTACATAACCATATTAAGTCATCACAGAATCAACTGCATGTTTGTTTTCACTGCTGTGTATCATCTGAAATCTGAGGCAATAAATTTATCAACTAAACAAAGAGGCATAGTGTCATTAATACACCCTATCACAACATCCATATAGCTCAAACTAGTACTCTCACTTACTATAGCTAGTATTTGGAATAGGAATGTAAGAAAAAAATTAAAAATTATAAAATAATGTTACTTTTAGTACTCCTTTTTAGATGTAGTTTCTAAACGTGTAAAAATTTATTTTTGAAAATTAAAGAGAATTGAGACCTAAAGTTAGAAGATCTGATCCTAGTACCCCGAACCCCTTCATTCTTTTCAAAACAGAGAGCATTAAACACAATTAGTAATTGAAATAATCCTCAAAACAACACAGTACCTCATTAAAACTGAAATTAATTCACAGGCAAGACAATTAAGCATAAATAAAGCAAAACAGAACACTTCATTGATGTAAAAACAATCTACTAAACACATTAATTTCTTCGTCGCACCAATTTAAACGTAACCGCACTACTTACATTAATCCTAAAGCCACATAAACTAAAAACCCACCTAAAAAAGTAAAATATAACAGGGAAAAAAGTCAGATCTAATTAGATGGTAACGAGAGATGGATCATAATTATTAGGTTCAGAAAAAATGGGTACAACTGCAATGAGCTTCTTTCTCTGAAGGCAGCAAGGACGGTGGTTCGCAATCTTCAAATTGAAACAAGGAATTAAGCCCTCTGTGGTTGGTGCTAAGAGGTCTGTTTCTGAATTGGGTATTTGCTGGCACATTGCAATTGGAGATTGAGCATTGTTTGGTCTTGATTTAGCAGTGATTTTGGAGTTCCTGAGTTGTGCCAACGCTCCTGGCTTTAGGTATGTATAATACGACGGCATTGAAGATCTCAAATTCCTGCTTCTTATCTTAGATTTTATTTTTCTATTTTGGAACTTGAGTTGGAATTGGAGAAGAGCGGTTTCTGGATGAAGGACGGAAGTGTGTAAAGATGGGGTTTGAAATATAAGGAAGTTGTAAAAGCGGGAAAGTGGTTGGCGGGTCATGAGCTTAATGTTAATAAAACTTACTTTATATAAAAAGACCGATTTATGTGAAATTGTTTTGCCCTTCCCGATTTTCTTGGGAAATTTGAATATTAAGCGGCGTTTATTTTGAGTTTTAAGGAAACATTTGTTCCTAAAAACGAAGTAGAGTTGTAATTTTACCTAATACTTTCTTAATCCAAAAAGGAATAGCATTATTGCTATTTGAAAAGTTATAACAAAAATCTTTGTCTATGATTCTAAATAATTAGAACTAAATAATTTCAAATATATAAATTGTGATTTATAGTAAGTTTCTTTATGTGACTTGTTAACGTGTAAATTTAACTTTATACAAGAAGTTGTTATTTGACTTGACCCAAAAATTAAATGTGTTCACTTTCATATTGCCAATGCATTTGAAGAATTGCCTTATATTCATTTCGTTACATGCACCTTTATTTATGGAGCATACGAGATAAAATAATGGAACTGTAACTGGTACTTCAAATAGAAGGTGGTGTTTGTTTTAGAGTTGGCAAAAACTGAGTTTCCTAGAGAAAATTCTCATGCATTGTAGGCCTAAGAGTGGAGCGGAAACAGGGTCCTGTGAATTCCAGTGAGATATTTGGTAGTAAATTCTATTTGTGGCAATGGATGTTAATAGAACCCATACCAAAACGAAAAATAGATGGTTGATAAACAGTGAAGTTGTCAGGTTCAAACTTGATTATAGAATCATAAAGTTACTTCCCTCCAATGGTATGACTAATAAAATACAAGATCCAAACTCCAGGCACAAAATCCCACCAACCATTGCCAGCTTGGGAATGGGGTGCATACAATATGACAAACATGAAATAACTTTCTTAATCTTATTTCTGTAAGACGATCTAGAATCCTATGTCATGGCTACAATAGGTTATCAGTTGACAACCAACCAGCATCTCTTTCACATTATTAGTGTTACTTACAATTACAATGAAATGAAACAAGCAAGATATCAAACTCCAAAAGATTATCAGTTGAAACTTGGTACAAAACCTTTTAGGCAAATCTTTGTCTCTACTAAAATGTTTCATACATGAAAGCAAATATGTCACGTCTGATCTATGCAGACAGGATATGCTCATTATAGTCAAACAGGATGTGCATCAAACTAGAAACAGGGAGACTGGTCGAATACTCAATGAACTTAACAACAGCTATGGAAGTCCAAAAGAAGATAAAATACCATTGTTCATTGTGTAGATTGTGTCCCCTCAAATACCCAATTGGAGCAGGATAAACACAGTAGTCTGTCACATTTTTAAGTCTCATATAAATTCTGGCAAAGTTACTGCTTCATAATATTTTGTCCTTGTGGTCAGGAATACGAAATTTGGAGCAAATTACCTTGATACAGAAATGATCAAAATCTAACTGAAGGATAGAAGAAAAGTAATAAAGTGGCTACAAAGAACAAGTAACAATAATCTCTAGAAATTTTAATCAAATCATGAAAGCTCAAGTCTTTTGCTGCTTGGAATAATAAGGAAACCCATGAAGATACCTTAAGTAAACTGCAGTAAAGAACGATAATTTTTCAATGAAATCCAAGATGGTACATTCTCTTAACCATGTACGGATCACCCAAAAGCAGGAAATACATAATTCATGTAGGCAGTAAATATCAAACTCTGCATATTAATTCGTA